CGCGCGCCCCCTTCCCTCCCTTTCTTTCTCTCTGTCTGTCGTTTTCTGTCTGTCTGTCTGTCTCTCACTCTCACCCACACACATCTATTCTGCTCCATGTTGCTTGTGTAGAGGTAAAGCTGTTTCATTGTCTGCTCCAGAGGTAAAGCTGCATTGATTTTGGATCTACTCATCTGGGTGAAACAGGGGCTGTTGTGGTGCAAATCTAAAACACACACACACACACACACACACACACACACACACACACACACACACACGTGTACACACACACACACGGACACACACATGGAGGTTTTGTTGGTTGTCAATTGTTTATTTACATGGCCTGCTTTAGAGCACGGGCTGTCTTTTTTATGAAAGAATGTCTGTGGGTGGCCACAAGTCTTTCCGCGGTGGGAATGTATGTTTGGAGTTCTGGCCACGGTATCTTCGCGATGAGGCTCAGAGAGTGTTTGCTGTGGGTGTCATTCGCATGGGCTGCTCCTTTGGAGCACATGGAAGAACCGGGGATTTCCAGGGTGTTTTAAGCAGTAGCGCTCTTGGTGCTGCCTGGAGAGTTTGCTTTGGTGGCTTTGTGGGCAGACACAGAGGACTCTCTCAGTTTTTTCAGGCCATTTTCAGCGTGGTTGGTGCTTTCTTGTCAGTGGAGCCTTTTGTGTTGAGGTGCAACTATTTCACTAATTCTTGTGTTGGGGTAGATACACTCCAGGGGCCAGACAACAAAGTGAAAGGGAGGTTATTGACCGTGTTCCCCCAAATAGAACGCCCAGTCATTATAGCTGTGTATATGGTGCAACTTCCCATCCAGATATGGCAATAACAACTGGGTGTCCTATTGGTGTGAACAGTGTGAAGATGGTAGCCATGGAGTGATGGAGATGACGGTGACACGAGGTAATCCTTTGAGATGAAAAGTGTTAGTGTTAGTGCTTTGCCTTATGCCCTTTACCCCTTCTGTGCAAGTGTGCCGTTGCCGCTCCGGCGGCAGACAGATGTGTGGGCACTTGGCGCTAAATCACACAAACGTGGGGCAACCTTGCATCTCTCGTAATATAGCGCCTATCTATACCTTTTTTTTGTTTCATGGATGGTTTGTGATGATTTGTGGTTGGAACGAGGAGAGAATTTGGATTTGGGGATCTTTGAAACACGCACACAGATGCAGGGATTAAGCAGTCTGCTAGGATTGCAGGTTTGGTGTGAGTAAAGTCGACCACTTTTCTCTCTCTCTAGGGTGGGTATCGCTAACTCTGGGTGACGTGGTGGGTGCTTATCCGTCAGTCAAATGCATCCTGGCCAGACTGTCGGTCCAGGTTCAACCTCCTGATGAGTCGGTGAAATTCCGATGAAACAGTCGGGCACAGTCATGCTTTTTTTGCGGAGTTGTGTATAGTGAACATGACAACACACACACACACACACACACACACACACACACACACACACACACACACACACAGAGCACCAGCGAGTGATTCCTCTTTTATGGTTAGGATATGTTTGGCTGTTTGGTTTATTATACATGGCCTAATTCTTTGCCCTGCGTTAGAACATGGGCTGTCTTTTCGACAAGGAATGTCTGTGGGTGGCCACAAGTCTTTTTTGGGGTGGAAATGTATGTTTGGAGTTTTTGCCACACTATCTTTGCGAGGAGGCTCTGACAGTGTTTCTGTGGGTGTCATTCCCATGGGCCTCTTTTTCGGAACACATGGAAGAAATGGGGGCTTCTGGTGTTTTAAGCGGTAGTGCTCCTGGTGTCGCATGAAGATCTTGTGGAGTTTGGGATTATGGCACTCTGTGCAGTCCAGAGGTTAGGCACCAAAGTGAGAAAGGGAGGTTGTGGGATGTGTAGCCATGGAGTGATAGAGATGGTGGGGACGTCAGTGAGTTGTTTGGGATGAATAGTAGTAGTAGTGCCAATGCTGTCATGTTTGTGTAATTAAGTTTGTATGGTTTTGTTCGGAGGGCTCGCCGAGTTTTTTCAGAACATTGGGAGACTGGGTCGGTGCTTCTTGCTGGTGGACTCTTCTGTCTGTAGTTTGTGGTTTCGTGGGCCGACGCATAGAGCTCTCCATTTTTTTTTGGACCTAAAGCATGGGGTCAGTGCTTTCTTGCTGGTGGAGTCTTCTGTCTTAGGTAAGTTGTCTTTGCCCTCCATCCCATTATGGATTATGAAAAATACGTATCTGTCCTCTTCTTCCTCTCTGCTTACGGTTTACCGGGCAGCTCTGTTTGACGATATATATATGTATATATATGTATATATATCTATGTATATATATCGTCATGTGCAAGTGTGCCGCTCCGGCGCCAGATGGGTATGTGGGCACTTGGGGCGCTGAACCACACAAACATCGCCAACCTTGCATTTTCTTTTTTCTACTTTTTTTTTTGCATCTTCAGTGTTTTGTTTCGCGTTTTTTCTTTTTTTAAGTGAACATGGCAGCACACACATCGACACACATTTTGTTTATTACAGTTCTGTAATTTTCATCAGACATGCGGGATAGGCAGAACAAGGTTTATCAAATGGGTTTTCAACTTTTCAGTGAACATAGGACTGTGGCAATTGCATTTAATTATGTTTGCTTCTAGAAAAGACAACTCTACCCACCAAAGAGAAAAAGAAAGGGAAAAGGTTGAGGGATGGGTTCTCAACTGTTTTACAACCATTCCATAACAAAGATACTCAGTCTTTAGAAATGGCGATTAAAAAAGAAGTCTGGGGAAAATCCAAAGAAACATGAAAAAACCCACAAGGGCTAAGGCCTTAGGTTGACATGCAGAAGAAGGTAAGTTGCGTCGTAAACGGACTTGTTATCAAATGTTAACAGAAGAGCGACCCTTCGTCGGACCAGGCCGAACGAATTGAGCCTTCAATCGACGGCCTACATCACAATACATGCCAAAAAGAGCAGTGTTGCATTTTATAGAAATGACGAATATGCTCCATATCGTAGCCTGACTCTATAAATATCTCCCTCACCTTCTTCTAATTGATACCATTGATTGCTGAAAATCTCGACAACATCTCCTCTAAATAGGGTGGATTGTCAAAATTTTCCAAACAAAAAATAATCTGAACTCCATAAAATTGAGAAAATTTTGGTAGCGCTTCCCGTAGGAAAAATGTTTTTCCAATATTTTTCCAATATTTTTATGAACTAGAAAATACTTCACTCTTTTTCGATTTGTGGAAATTTCCCCTCTCGCTATTAATAATTAATAAAAGAATAAAATAAGTATGCCTTCTTGAAGGGTCTACCTCATCTGCAGTTATGGGTTTTTGACGTTATTGTATGAGGGAAGGAAGACGTTGCCAGAGCGAGTGGAGACACAAAAAAGGATTGGTATGACATTCATTCCGCCTCCGTCGAGAAGATGTTCCGTTCGTGGCGAGTGAGGGTGTAACTGTCATCTTCTCTCTCTTGGCTTCTCTTTGCGTCGAAACATGCGGCCCCTTCCCCCCCCGTCACATTGGTCAAAGCGGTGCATGACAGGATCGATGCGTGGAGAGTGGCTATGTCCGCCGCGCCGTGGCCCAGGCATGCCGACAGTAGGAACCTCCTTTCTTTCTCTCCCCCTGCCTCATCGTAATCCCGACTATCTCACGCAAATGCTAATAGCTGTAAATTTTACAAGCGCGATTAAATCGCTCTCTAATCTGAACTCGGAGGAGTTAGTGCAGTTGAGAGGATCGACTAACGAGTATGAGCATGCAAAGAGGTGAGTTCGGAGTTGGGCGATCCAATGAGCTGGTGACGAGTGTCGGGGATTGATATGCAGCGACGATGGACTGTGGAGCACGGGCGAACCCGACATGTGTACTCGGGCTAAGTGGGGTGACAACTCTGGGTTGTTGGTAGGTGTGGGGCAACGGACTGCGGACATTGCAGTATGAAGGAGGATAGTGAAGCAGTGAGAGTGCGCGGATTGTTTAAGTTGGGGTGTGGGGACTTCTCTCCTGGCCCGTTAGATTTTTTTTATTTTTTATTTTTTTATTTTAAGACGTGCTCCAATCTATTCGTGGGGAGCAGCACGTGGTGGGAATCGGCCCAGCGTCCCATATGAAGACATGTAAAAAAAAAATATATTAACAAATTGAGATACTGAGGCCATTACCTAGATTCGGCTTGAGAGTATCCTCCAAGGTCGTGAACAAGCTACTGAACTTCAGGATAGATGATGGAAAAACTGTGAATCCTTTTTTTAAGATCGCTAAACACCTCCTGAAATGCACAACAATTTTTCAAACACTCAAGTATCTAAGGGATTTCCAACTGATTTTTTTTTTTGTTTTTTTTTTTGGGACATGCTCCAGTCTATTCGTGGGGAGCAGCACGTGCTGGGAACCGGGCCTAGCGTTCCATGTAGAATTACACAAATCATTTGACATACCGGGGCCATTACCCGACTTCGGCTGAGAATCAATCTGAGAGCTATTGAGAACTATTGAAGAAATTCACGAGAATTAAAAAGAGGTTGAAAAACTATGCATGACTACTGACCTCTTTTCAAATGCTCAGAACCCCTCGACTCCCAAACAAAACTCTCTAAAACCGTCCATCACTGTCTTATTCCCTGTCGGGCTCTCCCAGGCCTCACACTCCCACTCGGCTAGGTTACAGAGCAACACAACTCGCTCCAGCTCCTTCCAACGTCATCCCAACAGCAACCCTTGGTTGTCCCTTGGAATGCCCACCCCAAAGCATCCCCAGATCTCTCTACCAGGCCTCACGCTCCTGCAGTCAACAGGTTACAGGGCAAGACCCCAACACCGGCCACAATGTCGTTCTGGCATCGAACAACCGCAGATCCATGAATGTACCAGTATCAAACAGCCTAAAGCGAGTTGCTAGAAGTCCCCAGAATCCTAAAGCCTTCTCTTTTTAGAGAGCACATACATAATTTTTTTTTGAGATACCGGGACTTCAACCCGGCTTTGTCTGAAGAATAAGATCATGAGCAATTACTAGCCTATTCGCTGAAGAGGAATTTTAGAAGCAAAAATCGCCATCACAAGGGTCCTATAAATGCTCAAAACCCTCAGAATCCCTAGCAAATCCTAAAAATCTCCAACTGATCATAACAAAGCTCACAAAAACTGACTTATTCTCTGACAAAGTTATCTAGGCCTCACGCCCCCTATTTAATTCGGCTTTCCCCATTTTTGCTTTTGTAATTGCAGACTTCTGTATGCTTGTGTGGATCCCGTTTGTTCTTCAGAGTCTCTTTTGTGCCTTTTTCCTGTTATGGAGGATGTTGTGTGATGATTGCGGCCTGATCATCTCAATTTGGTATGCATAATTCCTGGTTATGTCGAAAGACTGAATGATTGAAGAACGCGGATGCATGCATAACCATAGTCTGCTGGAATCGGTGGGAAATAGCGAAGTTGGTCGCATCGAGTTGCTCTGTGAACGGATTTTGTGCCACATGTGCCGTACCGCCCCTAACACCCCCCTAGCCTCGTAGGGCCCCTACCCCTATTAACCAATGCATCCCTGGAAA